TTGTAGTCCCACTTCAATCTGGGCAAATTGTGGCATTTTCTTCAAATCTCTTACTCCATGGTAATTTTCCTTTAACTTGAGGAATCAGGCATAGCATTGTATATTTTGTTCACAGTGGATTCTTTCATCGTAAGCGTGACTTTACCTTAGTTTATAATGATCTTAAGGCTAAAATTGATAAATATGCAAATGGAGATATTGCTTCAGAACCAATTATGCAACAAGATTTTAATGATGATGTCCATAGCTTGAATAAACTGGTCAAGCTTAATAAACCAAAAACAATACAAACTTATATTCCACCCAAAAAGATGAGGATGTATTGGTAAGTAATATAGATTACATGCAATCATTTGACAAAAAAATCTTAGCTGATAATTAATATTTTCTTAGATTTATCACATGCTTGTCAGGGTTTGAAGGCAGAGGATTCACTTCCTGAATCATATTTTTAATACTTTTTTGTGATTTTAAATTATATTAATATGACAGATATGATTAATTACTATAATATAATATGTAAAAATTGTACCTGCTATTAATTGATAATTAATTATGAATTATATTTTAAGTTTTAATGTAATCAAATGAAAGATCATTATATAAATTTTTTTTAATATATCATTTTTATCCAATAAAATCTTTGCATCATTAACATTTTTGGAATAACAAGCCACTGGTGTATTTTTAGATTTGGATGAAGTTTCCATAATAATATTAATATTGTAATAGGCCATTACATTTTTAGTATTAATATAACAAGCCACTGGCTGCTATTTTTAGATTTGGATGAAAAAGTGGCTGATGTAATGAAAAATTAAAAAAATGTATAAATACAAGTTGTTTCAGACCTAATTATACAAAATTCAATAATTCAAATAAAATAAAATAAAGTAAAAATAATTAAATAAAAATCTTAATCACCAAACCAAAAAATGTCCAATTCTCAAACAAGTCCTTTAGATGAATCACTGTTTACATTTGATTATAACTCACTTCAACAAGAAATTGAAAGTGCTATAAATGCTAATTATATGGATTATATAGATGATGAATGCTTTGATGGAGACGGTGCTTTTGATGGCCATGATGATGTAGAGATGAGTGATGAATTTGGATTTGATAAAGAAGTTCCTAAAGAAAAAGA